AAAAGGGAAAAGAACTGGAATACATCTCGGACCTCCTCGACATGAAACACAGTTAGAGAAAGAAAGTTTAAAAAAAAAAAAAAAAAAAAAAAAAGGACTGATGGACAGCACAATTAGCTACACAAGAAGGGGATACACTTCATAACGTGTCATTTATGAAGTGTTGCGGAATGGCAAGTTCGTGGTGACGAAAAATTTCACCAATGTTTCGACCCCTTTTTTGCAGCGGGGGAGTCGGCCATCTTATTTCTGATGGGGTGCGTTGTCCTGATTGGTGTTTCTTTCTGGGTAACATACACGGTAATTAAAAACTGCGTTGGTGTGAAGCGGTCGGGGCGCATAAGCAGATCGATGCCCACCCGGTTGAGTCGTCACTCAGTTGAGTCATCACTCGGTTGATAGCTGTCCTGGTTGATCCTCCACGTCGTTCATGTCGCCCCACCCCTCCCCATATCCGCAGAGCTATGGCATCGCCTGTCTGCCCTTATCATTTCTGCAACAGAAAAATATAGAGCATGATAGGAGGGAGATAGAGACTCGCTTTGCAAATTTGAAGGAGAAGGAAATGGTGATAAAGGTATGCGCCATCGGTGGTCAGGACGCCATCACGTTGGAGGTGTCAATCCAGCGATACCGTATAGTCTCAGCGGCGTGATAAAGCTTTTGCAAATGCCTACTGCCCGTTATGCCCATCGCAGCATAAATACAGAGCGCCCAGTGAAATATGTGGAAGCGACAAGTATGAAATTCTTAGGATAACAAAAATGCAGAGGTGAGTTCTTCACACTTCCACATGACACAACCTGCATGGTGTGTCTACCTGAACAGATGCTACTAACAAATGGAAAGACATTCAATCATGCCAATGATGGAAGAGCGTCCTCAATTTGTTCCCTCTCTCCAAACTGGTTCTCTTCAAAAACATATACCGGCGAAAGATTCCACAGACGTGTATGCACATGTCCTCTACTCCCAACCTCACACAGGGCCCTAAGCAGATACAACTACAAACTGCAGGAGATTGAGAAGACGTCGGAGACTTGGTTGTCTTATGTCATAGGGATTGTGATGACCTGCAGGTTTTACAAAAAAAAAAAAAAAAAAAAAAAAAAATACGAAAAGCTTCTGCGCGTGTATGTGTAGCGCCATGCTGGCCTACCCTATGCATTGACGCGCACATTTCTCCTTGGCACTCCCCACAGGGTTATAACCGGGCTGGTATTTCTAACCTTCTCATTCGTAGTTTACATATCCTTGTTAGCCTCTATAACGGATAAGGTAAAAGAGTCAAGTAGTTCACCAAATCATGAGTGAAGAGACTAGCCGAGAAGAATCTGTGCCACCTGTTTGTACCATCACAATAGGAATTACACATTTCCCTTTTCACCTTACCTCTGCAGTACTTAAACTCCGTCTGTGCCTATAAGTGCGGTTTTGTATTAGAGAAAATAAACACCATTTTTAATTTGCTGGATTCTTCCCTGATTCTGTTTTCTCGGGTTAGCTCCACATTAGGGTTGAACAGCCATTTATAACCACCCTTCGACGCGCACGTTCCTATGGGCCTGAGAGAAAAGAGATAGGGACAAGTAACCCATCCCTTCAAACGGACAGAAGTATCACAATTACATTTGATCACATAATCATTTTATTCCTCTCCCCCCCCGGGCATGGTAAATTTTCCCCTGCGTAGTTCTTCCCGTTAGACATTTTTATCATTGCAAGTTTGGCCATATATATTTTCTGTTGCTCTTTGTATGGAATTGTAAATGTTGGTATTCGGGTTTTTTTTATTCCTCTTTATAAATTGAAGACCAGGAGATCTTCCCCCGAGGTAACCCCCTCGATGGATTCTTGTGTGCTCTGTTAGCGGTGAAGCGATTTAGCGGCGGTGCGATTAGGCGCGGTGTGATTAGCCGCGGTGCAACTTCCTCATCGCATTGCTTTCACCCCCTCCCGCGTTAGACCATGCTAGTCCTGTGCTTCGTCATTATGCACATCATCCTGGTGCTCATAATGACCTTATTAACGGTAAGGTGGAAGGAGGACGTGGTGGGCCACATGGGACGTCTCTACATGGAACTACCGTACATACGTCTCCTTCTCCTGACCTTCCTCCTTGAATGCTTCCTTCGCCCAACAGATTGCCCCCAACTACATAACGTATGGAATACAAAGGATACGAATAAACGTCCGTGATAGAGAAGAGACAAACAAAAAAAAAGAAAGTTGCGCCTTCCTGTGGAGGTGCGAATTAGGCCAATTTTGCATTTCATCTCATAGTACATTTCGCACATTCAGAGCGACTCCACTTGAACCACAAAAAAAGAAAACTAAATAACATAATAATGCCTTTCCATTTCTGCAGGACACCCCTGTGTTTATTAAGTGCTCCCTAAAGACGGACAAAAATATTTGCAAGATGTCTGTGCTGTCTGTGTTTTTTAATAAAATATTTTTTGGTAAGGGAGGAGAGTGAACGACTGTACACCCATGTTTGGCATTTTTCCTCGAGTGGCACTTGAGGAATCGGAAATGAATAAGCATAGTGGACAAATCTCCCTTAGGTGTATGCTCATGTCTGCATAAGCAAACGTACCAAATAACACTCGTGGTTGTGACTTTTTTATTTTTTTATTTTTTTTTTCTCAGGGATACCATACTTTGCCAACAGCTACTTTTTCTCCAATTGGATGTTCATACGTACTTAACGAAGAGCAAACCAAATGAGCGGGAAATTTCCGTCCCCCATTTTTGTGTTCCTCTCTCGCGAGCTGACTGTTCTCACACCTGAGTGTACACTTTCCGTGCCCCTGATTTCAGCGCAATAATTTTTCTAAACGCTTCCCCCCCTTTTTTCCACCCCTCAGTGATGTACTCCCTTTCATTCGTCTATCGAATTTTCTTCAAGAGGATCAGCTACCTAGACAGCCTAGACGTAAGCGCGCAAATGATCGCAGCGGGGTGCAACAGAAAGGGATAACCATTCGGCACAGTTACGGAAGCGGTCATGTGTTTCGCTTAGTCTGCTTTGTTGCCCATGCAGCGACCTAGTTAACCCTTACATTTTTTTTTTTTTTGTTTTTTTTTTTACCACTTTGTTAGGAGCTAAGTCTAAGCAAGGAAAACTTAGACGAGCACATGAACCTCCTTCCACTGGAGAAATTAACCTGAAAGAAGCTCAGATGTGTACATTGGGGGGGGTTCACACACACAGGCGGGATCAGCATTTAGAAGTGCGCGCCGCTTGGTCAATTTGTGCACCTATTTTTTTTTTTGGCGATTTCATATTTTCCTCAAAAATGGGCGAGCCCTTCACCAGCGTTCTCTCCCTTTGCCGCCTCACTCGTTGCATGTGTACACATGGCGCTGCAATGTGTGGTCCAGTGTGGAGCGCGTTCATTCGAGTATTTTATTTGATTTGTGTTGTGTCTGCATGGACACACAAGGATTCCCCTTACGCTGCCGCAGGGACACCCCCTGTGTTCGTTTTTCTACTTTCCCCTTCACGGCACCGGTCACACACGTCCTCTTTGCCCATTGTGCCTACCCCTTCCTTTGACATCGCTGTAAGAGCTCCTACATTAGGAGCTAATGTTTTCTCCCCCTTTTGAATTAATTTTTTTTTTTAAAAAAAAAAACTACACAATCATTTTGTAAATTGTTTCGTACATTTAAGAATTATCATTTGGCGAAGACAATTATGTGCGTGGGGGATGCCCTTCCCCCCTTTTTTGCATGTGTGAGACACTCCATCTGGGTTGTAGCTGTTTACCTCGGAAAAGTAACCTCACAAGTATAGCCATAAAAATTCAGAGAAGGGAGAGAGGGACACAAAATAAATCATACAAAGAAAAAAGTCCCACATCAGTATAGGCTTAAATCCCCCATATATTAGCAAAGCCATTTTATTCCTTCCCGAATGTGTATTTTTTTTTTTTTTTTTCCCCCTGTTGCAAATTCACCCAGGGAGAACAAATAATGGCTTGTCACATTTGCCTTCCCCAGTTTATGCTGATGATGTGGTGTGGAACACGTTTTAAAACCACCAAGCCGAAATGTTTTTAATCGTTTTTTTTTTTTTTTTTTCCCATAAGCAGTTAAGGCTATTTTCTCATTGGGCAAAAGAGAACAAAACACATGCAATGATAAATTGCGCTCGATAACCACATTGGGGGTTGGGGGCTACAATTTTTACACGTGCCGGGCATACGCGCACATATGGGGGCACACGAAAAAAAAAAAAAAATTATATATAAATATAAAAAATAATAAAGTGCCAAGCGACCCAACTATATTAGCCTTTAAAAGGACGGAAGCGCAATTTTGTCGCAAAAGAGGTATTTTTTTTTTTTTGTTCCATTTAGGAAGTGAGATCCCTTATCTCTGCTGCGTGTTACCCCCGGGCGCTTCCTCATTTGTGTCAACGCAATGCGCACCACATATTTCTCTCTCCCCCTGCCCAGATTGTCAAATCGCCCTTGTCAAATGTAAAGGAATTTTTTTTTTTTTTTTTTTGCGAGACCAGAGGTTAATTATTGTGTAATTACTTCGACGTATTATTCCCCCCTTCAGTTTTGAATGTCATACTGTTTAGACCTCCACGCAGGTGAAGTTCCTGATGGGCGCATAAGGGGGAGGCACCTCCGCTGAGCGAGTAACTCACGTGTAGGTGTAAGTAGCTCCAAGTGACCAGCTGACCAAGTCACCGTGCTGCGTTTTATTTAAGTTTTTTTTTTATTACAATATATTCTTTTTTTACGTGCACGTGCACAGTGTTTGTACTTAGCGGAAAGGGACACCCCTCAAAGTAAGATACTCGAGTGAATTGGTAATTGCGCTAAAGGGGAGGGCGAAGAAGATACCCCTCGTTTGTTCTTGCGTATATGTTGTGCTCCCCCCCAGTGAGACAAAAAAGAAGAAAAAAAAGAGCAGTAAGTAACGTACTTGTATTTCGCCCCACCCCGTCGCACAGACCCCCCCTGTCGCCCCGCACCAATATGAAAGAGAAACACAAGAAGGTCGAGTATGCGGACAAGGAGGCAGAGGCCCCAGCGGTGGATGCTGGAGAGGCGAAGGAGACGACGGCAAAAGATGTAAGCAGTGTGTTTGTGAATAACCTTCTAACAAGTATTAACAATATACATAATGCAATAGTATACAGGGACAATCGGTACATTTTGCGAATGCTCAAGTATATAAAAGGCATGCGATTGAGTATAAAAAACGAGAGCAGTACGCTCATGCCAATAATGATTAGTCTCATTAACAAGACATTTAAAGAGGGTTACCCAATATATGAAATACTAAGCAAGTACATATATGAATTCAGAGAATTACCAAAGGAAGTCCCGGAATTTGCAAATATAAATGACAAAACATATACACATGCAGCTCCCGAGATAGAAGTTTTTTTTTACATAATGATATTGCTATACCTATTAGATAAAAAATGCTACAATGAAGCAATGGATCTGTCCACTGTGATTGTAAATAGGATCACGAAATTGAACAGAAGATCACTGGACTGTATAAATGCAAAAGTGTATTTTTATTTCTCATGGGTTCATGAATTAGGTGGAAAACTATCTCAAGTCAGACAAAAACTTCTGTACATATATCGTAATGCATGTCTTCACAGGGATATAATGACGCAGACAGTTGTCCTGAATTTAATACTAAGGGATTATATAAAACACAATTTATATGACCTAGCTGTTAAATTTGTGAGCAAAACTTCCTTCCCTGAAAACTCTTCATCGAATGCTCAACATGCAAGGTACCTATACTACATTGGAAAAATTTTAGCCATCCAGTTAGACTATAGTGAAGCCCATAGCAAAATTACACAAGCTATAAGGAAGGCTCCACAGAATAACCAGAGTGCAAAAGGGTTCAAGTTAGAAGCTACAAAAATGGAAATCATTGTTGAATTACTCATGGGAGACATACCGGATAGGTCTCTCTTCAGCAACAAAATTATGAGGAACAAGTTGATCCCTTATAAACACGTTGTGACGGCTGTTCGAAATGGAGACATAAACAAATTTGCCAAGGTCATGAATGATTATAACCAGCTGTTTATGCGCGATGGGGTTTACCTCCTAATAAAGCGCATTCACCACAACGTGATTAAAACGGCCCTCCGCATCATCAACCTCTCCTACTCCCGGATCTCGATCGTAAGTGTGGGCGTCTGCCCCGACTACCTGCGTTTCTCCCACTATTAGCGGCCGTCCTGGCTCCTCTCCTCTTACCGCTGTGTTTTTCACCGCTTCACTCATCATGGCTTCTCTCATCACCGCTGCTCCCCCCACAGAGTGACATTGGGAAGAAGATCGGCGTAGATTCCCCCCTGGATATCGTGGGCATAACGGCCAAGGCCATCCACGACGGAGTCATCGAAGCCACCATCGACTACGACAACCAGTACGTGGAATCCAAGTCCAACAGCGACGTCTACATAACAAGTGATCCTATCAAGACCTTCCACAAGAGAATAGCCTTCTGCTTGCAATTGTATTCAGACGCCGTTAAGGCGATGCAATATCCGGACGAAAATGAAAAAAAGGAAAATGAGGAGGCCAAAGAAAGGAAGATCAGACAACAGGAGGAGTTGGCGCAGGCAGAAGAGGGAGACCTCGGAGACGACAACGATTTGTTGTAGTAAAATGAATTTCTCTGCTGAATGTTTGTCTTAGAGGAGATGCTCCTTGCTTGCTAGCTGTGTTGGCATTTTAATTACACGTCCCATATGGGTGTACCCATTTTTTTTTTTTTTTTTTTTTTCCTTCCCTTTTTTTTTTAAAAAAAAAAAGGGTTGTCCCCTTTGGTTTTTAACCCCCCCTCCTTTCCCTCCTATGCGTATCACCCATAATGTGAGTATGCACAGGTGTGCCTCTGCACGTATACAACCGCGCAAAGGAGAAACCATTTTGCCTTAGCGAATTTTGCACCAGAGTACAAGTAAAGAATGACCCATCGATTGGTCAATAGTTGAGACTCCCCAAAAAAGGGATTCACCACAGATTGCCCCTTTCCACATGCCAATCTTGTGTGTGCTTCATAGTCTCTTCCAAACAAGTGACACGTGTGAGTTGCCCACAAAGTTGCACTTCTCAGCAAGGGGTGTCACATTTTATGCCCACCATTTGTGTGCGCACAGTTGCAAGGACGTGTGGGGTTAACTCCTTACCCCCTCCCGGTGAACAGTCTGCTCAAGGGTTGGAACGATTGGGTGGAGTCCACATTTGCGCACGGCCAGGCTAGCTCGTGCGGTCAGGTACAATGTCCTGGTGGTGCCGTCCTGTTCGGGGATACCCTATTGGTGCTCCTCTTAAGTCGTCCTTTTTCACCATCCAGAGGACAAAATAATGCACGCAACTGCCGTTACAAATGCAGAGCATAAAGGTCGCATACAAAAACCTTCACGAAGAGTTTGAACATACATGCGATTACGAGTTGGGGAAAATGGGGTTGTGTTCATATCGGGTGTGCGCACGGTGGAAAAAAAAAAAAAAAAAAAAAAAAAATTAACAATTAAGCAATTGCACATACATACATATATATGTGCCCTGCGCAGACGTATCTACGAAGCGCCGACGTGGGCCACTCAGAACTTCATTTTGTGCAGAGCCATGTCATTTCTCAGGGTAAATTTGGACTTCAAATATTCTGCAAAGATTTTGTTTTTGGAAATTTCATCCTTCAGTAAGGTGTCAATTTGCTTTTGGATTATTTGAAGATTCTTGACCTTGGGGTCCTCCTTCATCAATTCCTTAATTTTGGTAATCACGTCATTCATGAAGAGACTTTCATTCTTTTTGCTCAAAAGTTTCTTTTGCCTTTTTTTTATATCCAATGATTTAACAAAAGAACTATCTTGGATCTGTTCGGCCAGCTTGACAAATTCATCCTTCAGGCCTGCCATATTTTCAAACTTAAAAATGTTCGTGGACGTCACTACAACATATCTTGGATTCACTCTCTTTAAAGGCACTCCGTTTACTTCATAAGGACCTACAACAGCTAACAGCCCGGAGGGTAATATCTTCGTAATTATGCATCTCTTGCCCATATGCCTCCCTGATAATATAATGGCCACTTTTCCAACTTCGATCGATTTTCTAATTTTTCCTTGCACTACGTATTTCTTCTTTGATGCTAATTTCCTTCCATAATATTTCTTCGCAATGGTTTTCTTGGCCTTAACTGGGACTAAAATTTTTTTCTGGCCCTTCACTCTGTAGTACTTGAGTGTTTCTTCGCCCGTGGCCTTCTTCACCTTTACCTTGTTGTCCTTAGCCATTTTTTTTTGTTTCAGTACGTCAGATGAACAGGTTTTCAGCGGCAGCTTTGGAGGGAGGAAAGTTTGGAGAAGCAATTTTGCAAAGCGTTATGGCTTTTAAAATAACTTTGCCAGGCTCTTCTTCTATATACTACGCGTTGCCGCTTGGTAGGTGGAAAAAAGTAGATCTTTTTTCAACGTACACGACGAACGAATTGGGAAGGGTACATATAACGCGCATACGCGTGTTTACAGTCAAGAAGTACTTTGTTCAAATTCGCGAACGGAAAAAAACATATACAATAAAAAAAAAAAAATTAAATTAATAAAAATAAAAAAATATATTTGATGATGTGAAACACGCACGTAAAATAATATTTATATCCCGTTTTTTGATGCTTCTTAAAATATACGTTTCAAAGTGCTTTTTTTCCCGTTCGCGCATCATTTACCAGTTTCTCGTAGGTACATGTGAGCCCGACATAGGTATGCATAAAACTTGTTAGCAATATATATAATGAGGCAGAACAAAACCCAACGTTTTTTTTTATTTGGTTTTGTTACCGGTTGGGTAAAAGTTTGCCGAACTGGGAAGGAAAGGTGATCGATGGGGAAGAAAACAGAAACGTAGCCGCTGGTGCAGCATAAAAACCAACGCGGAAGCGGTTCGTACAATGGTACCCCATCAGATAAAACGAGGGGGCAAGCACAGCACCGCCATCAATATACGTATAATATATATAATGGAACCCTGTTTATCGCACTGCACGGTATTCCCTTCCGCGATGCGTTCCATTTGTCGCAGGGCCTATTTATTTTGCCATGTGCACTTTTCCATAAGCATATTTTATATGTCGCCTTTGGCTACGGTGGAAATGTTGTGCCAACGGTACCGAAGGACCCTACGCTGATTTTTTTATTTTTTTGTTTTTTTTGTGGGGGGAATATACAAGAATATATGTGCATAAATATATTATACGCAAATATATGTACATACATATTTATGCAATAAACGAGGCAGGTATGCTGCCTCCCGCCCCTTGGGTTCAACACATGTCGGATTTGCCACGGGGAACGTTTTAAAGTAAGCACTCCAAAAACACGGGCTTACCACGAGAGAAGCGTATAAACAAAATGCTCTCTCAATAAGAAGCCAAGTCCTAATCTGTATTTGTTTTTTTTTTTCCGTACCTTTGCCATATGCAATTTACCAAAAAGAAAATAAAACCGCTGCACGGTTGCTTCATGTCATTGCCCACGTAATACTTCGAACGCATATAAACCCCCCGTTCATGACAATTGGAAAAAGTAATGGCTCTTTCACTTCCCTAAGGATATTGACAAATTTTCCCTTTTAGAGTTCAACATAATACCATCCATGCGTGCGTGCGCAGGTATGTGTAGGCCCGCGCAATATACTACGTTAAGTAGCTGAGTGGGAAGTCACCTCGCCAAATGTTCACATCACACCCCTGCGAGATAATTGCACCTCATCGTCGATCACTCCCTGTGCATATGCAACAGTATCAGGCGAGTTGCAGCAATTCGCACACGTTAAGAGAACAAAACCGTATGACTGCAAATGCGCATATGTAAGTGAAAGGGGGAATTTTTTTTTTTTTTTTTTTTTTTTTTTTTTTTTTGGCTATATACCCCT